ATGTGTGGTCATTAGGCAGTTGCCACTGGCTTATTTGGAGCACCTACGGGCTGTATTCATACAAACCTACATACATTAGTAAGTTACACATTTTTGACAAACATAAAAAGAGCATAAAATATCATGTCTTTCCTTTGGCTCTCTATTGGCTGTAGCGGAAATGATTTTTTAATACAAACTATGATTAGATGAACTCTAGGAAGTAGCTACTGATGACTTAATATGCATCGAAACTCCACGCCTTACACAACCAATCCCGATTCACGCAGAGGTCACAGACCACAGAACAACAGTATCATTCGCTTCTCAACAGTATCATTTACTTCTCAATGCTTCTAATGTCAAAGTGGGAATAGTAAGTGTAAAATCATAAATTTACACAAGGAAATGATAGAGACAGTGCCTGCCTCTTTCTTGAGAAACTGAAAAGAAGCCCAAAGTAAGCGTAGCCTAGGAACTTCAGCTATGGCAGACAAACTTGAAAGCAATCTTGTACAGTTCTGTTTGATTTCATTGGTAGAAATACTTGATTCCACACCTTGATTTACAGCAAGCAGGGAATCTGACAGTTTGCTCTCCACCACATCCCAAGCAAACTGCAATTTGGTGCCTTCCTCTTTCTTGTTTATGCTGCAATTTTAGGAAAATATTTGCAATTACTTGAAGTCAAATGGTGGACGGCAAGGGTGATTTGAAATTGACTTATTGTCCAATAATTTTACCTGCCAACAAGGGATGCGCCATGTTTTGGAAACACATAATCATGTGACATGTTTTCTACAGGATTTACAAATGACTTCTTTGGAGAAACGGCTCCAGCAATGTAAGTAAGGAATATACTTGTCACTAGAAGCATTTGGTCCATATTAGAGACCCAACCAGAAGCCGCAGCAACATTAACATCAAGTGGAGAACTAAAGCAGCAAAAACACCTTTGACAGTTTCCCTTCTTAACTAATCCCTTCACTTTTGTAGAATGAGGGGCAAATGTCCCTTTGCCACTCCACATTGACAACTGAGAAATGTAGTAATTTTCAAGGTACAGCTTCCTGAAATAGGAAAAGAATCATAGCTAATTAATTGTGAACAAAAATAGTACTGTGTAGCTCAGCAATAGCAGTTGGATATGCAAAAAAAATGAACAAATTTTAATTTAAAAAAAGGCCAATCACATTTTTCCTCTCTCCGGGTATTATTATCCCCCCTCTATAATGCCTCTCCTCATATTCTCCACCCCTTTCTAATTCATCCCCCTCTTTTTCCTCTTCATATCACATCATGCTCTAACCCTCTACCAAAAGCCCAAGTTTGTGGTTGTATGTCCAGAAAATATCGTGGCATGTCCCTCACGGGCAAACTGTCTTTTTCCACTCTTGCACGTGAACATTAATGTTTTGAATTTGTGTGGTGGTAAAGGCAAGCAATGCTCTGATACCAACCCAAGTCCCAACCAAAATCTTGATCTTGTGGTTGAATTATTCCTCGAAAACATTAAATTACGTTCTAGGTTATGTTCTTTCACCTAAACTAAACCGAAATTCAAGCAACACGGTTTAAATGGCTAAACGAAAAAATATCGAACAAAACCAAAAAGTCTCAAACAGAACTCAAAATAAGCTGAAACTAACATATCATCAATGATGGAGAAATAGGTTTAGAAATTGTAACCTTGTCATAAACTGAGAGCTTCTAGGCGCACAAGGTCGCTGTCTTGAAACACACACAACCCTATGCATCTTAGGGTCCGACGAGTCCAAATCAAAACTGTTCAGCTACTGCTCAAACACCTGGACATGGCCAAATCACTGTGCGCGGTTAACGAGAGAATGCAATTTGAGGAGCTAGGGTTTGGGAGAAGGAGATTGGATCGCGTGCGTGCGCGTACAGCGTACCCGGTGGTACCGCACTATCTTGAGGCCTTTTGTATTTTCTTACTTCGCTCTCTCACCATCGTCGCTGTGGGAATAACGGAGACGAACCAACTGACTGGTGAGTGTGAAAATGGAGTATTGTTTGTTGTCATTTTGACCGTTAATAAAAATACAAAAAAAATTGTGGTTAAAATTTAGAAAAAAACTCTCTAGATTAGAATAAAATATTTTGAAAATATCAAAATACGAATCATTAGTCTTCTAAGATTAAAATGGGAATTCGCATTGTAATTGTTACATTGACACACTTATTATGTTGTCACATTGTAAATGCTACAATAAAAAAAAATATAAATAAAATTTGACCATGTAAATAATAAATAAATGGCTTAATTTTGGAGAATAATAAATTCTTTTAGGCATACTCCGTATAGAGAAAGTAAAATTTTCTTACGAGAGAAAATATAGAGTGAAAATTTTCTGTAAGACAAGATAGCTAAAATTGAGTGGATGGAATCCTCGCGTAAAATTGACATACATAGAATTAAATTTTATGATTGAGATTCATGAATAAAAAGTACAAAGTAAATAATTGGGACTATTCAATGTTTACTTCAAAGAAATAAGAAAATATTATTTTTAATAAAAAAATAATTGAAGTTTTAGTAAACAAAAATAGAAAGAAATATGATATGTCACATTGAACATTGAACATTTTATTATTCCATGTCTCAAACAGAGAGTATAACTTTGATTTTGAATCAATGAAATAATTTATTGAGAGGCAAAGTTAGTTACAAATGCGGTGAGTGCCCTCAAGTTTAAAGACATATCTGAACAATCGTAAATTTGAAAATTCATTTAAACTTGAAGTCCCATTATTCGATAAGGTACCATGTCAGTTTTGCCCCAAATAAGATTGTCTCAATATCTTTATTCACCTCTAATATGTACATATACTAATGTGGTCGTACAACCTCATCAATGCAAATATACAATTATAAAAGCTATTATTGTCTAAAGACTACTGATTAAGCAAATCAATTATTATTACGTACAATAATTGATTAACAAGCCATCTGGTCTCTAATGGGAGTGATCTCTTCAAACACGGGCAGCCTTCTTGATCTTGGCGGGCCGAACTCGACTGTCAGCCCATCAAGCCCACTAAAGAAATCATCATCTTCATCATCCACTCTTGGAAGGCTCTGCAACGGCCCGCAAGTGGTGCGCTTCTTCTGCACGGAGTCCAAATCCGACAGCAATTCGGCCATCCGGGTTATGGTCTTCGGGTCATCCGAACCCGGGTACCTCCCTTTCCATATTTCTTCGAGGAAGAAACGGGCCTCTTCATACCTGGACTGCTTGATCAGGCACTGGACCAGGTTGCAGGCCTTGTTGCAGTCCGCGTCTATCATTTGGGCCTTTCGGTACACCACTTCTGCTGTCTTGTACTCCTGCTTCAGCATGTAAGCCCATCCCAAACTCCCCTTCACACATATACACACAAAGTCATTTTTAATATGGAATACTTCTCATTCCCACCAATTGCACTAAGATTCTCGTCATACACGGATACAAAATGTCAGTACGATCTTAAAATTTTGCGCTCGCATTCTGTAACTGTGTGAGCAACTAGCTAGCACTATTGTTTTTTATATACTTAAATTATAGTTTTTTTATAATGAATGTTTGATGTGAGATTATATAAACTACTTCTTGAATCGTGTTCGAAATTAGTATGAGGAAATACATACTTCTTTTGTTATGTAAAAATTTTCAACTTTCTCATCGTAGATGTCTCATAAAACATTTCAATATGTACTTGTGTTAAGTCTAAACGAAACTATACCCTAATTGGCTAATTACCTTTTACGCCCTATCGTTCAATTGGACGTTTTCGGAGCCCTACTCATTTCTACACCCTACCCATTTGGCTCAAAAGAATCAGAACAGAAAATGTTTTACAGGACAAAAGAGGTATATTACGTAGTACCAGTAATCTGGCGCTCTCTTGGGTGACGGAGACCTGGAACTTTTTGCCATGGGAGCGGGCAGTCTTGGTGGGTTTGCCATTGAAGACTTTCCCTTGATATATCTTTCTCAGCTTCAGCTTCAACAGCGCTATTTGTTCATCCACTCTACCACATTTCTGAATACATTGTGATGAACCAAGCTAATCAATAAGTATTATTCGTCGTTGTCGTCGTCCCCAGAGGTAATTAACTTTTTTTTCATGTATAACAGAAACACTTAAAAGTATATATATATACGTACTTTGTATAAATCGAGGAGGACATTGTCAAAGGAATCCTGGGATTGGGCGGGGCAAAGGAGGCGGAAGGACTTGATGGCTTCAATGGCTTCTTGGCATCGATCCAGCTGTTTCAACACCACTGCCATGTCTTTTAGGGCACTCCCTACCCTGTCCCCTCCTTCTATGGCCTTCCTGAACCACACTATCGCCCCTTCCAAATCTTTCTCCACTAACTTCATTAAATAATAGGGTAATTAGCACTAATTTATTTAGGCAAATGGAACTTAAACATATCTTTTTTTTCTAAATAAGACTTGTCCTATTTACTCTTACGTTTGACAATGGAAAGTTCTAAAATGTTCCGCCTTTGAAAATTTGAGTGTTTTGTTAATAGTCGGGAAAATGACAAGCATCCGAAATGACTACAATTCAAGTAAAATATAATAAGCCATTATTAAAAAATAATTTGAATGGTTATTGATCAAATAATCACTCATTATCTAATATTTGTTGCTAACTATCATATTCGTAGAGTCACTCATATAATTAGTCATTATCTAACATTTATTATTAATGATCATATTCATAGAGTCATTCATCTAATTACTCATTATCTAACACTTGTTGCTAACGAAGGCATATATGGCAGATCATATGAAAATATATATCGAGGATATTTGATTTCATTCACGGAAACATACTATCTTTTAGACTTATTTGGAGCAAATTTTTCTATACATTATTAGACTTTCTTTGTGCTAGAATGTGTAATCTTTCTTTAATTCTATAATCGCAAATTTGTACTTTTGATTGAATTGATCAAGACTCTAATATGGTGTTAGAAACCAACTCAATCAAAGACTCAAACTTGTGATTCTAAACCTAGAAAAGAAAGTGTTTTTATATTCTAAGCCTTTATTAACATTTAATTTATTTATCTAAATATTCAGTTGATGTGAGATATATATATATACCTAACTAAATATGTTTACCTGGGCATGTTTTGCTCGAACATAGGGACCATCGCCGGAAGGAACCTTGGGCGGAGTTGCTGCGGCGGCATGAATTAAATACGTCTTTTCCGGCAGGTTTGCTGCTTCCATCTCCATAAATTAACCTTCTTAGCTCTGTAATTTGTCTGAGTTAAAGTGATTATAGTACACTCAAAAAATGTTAAAGTGTGGGGGGGTTTAATTAATTGTTTTTATCGTGCAGTAATGACGTGTGTGTATATGTATAGATCGATCTATACATACATAAGAATATAACTTGTGCTGTATATGTTAGAAGATGATAATAAAATGGGAGCTGCTTAACTGCGTGCTTCAAGTTGTGGAGAGGTTGCTGTCTCTATATGTATATATTGTGAGTAGTGGTTGCCCAACCAAAAAGGCAGGCTATATACACTGGTGTATCTGGACTCCTTATCGTCCACGTTCGCCTTACTCTCTCATAATTATATGAATTTCCCACTATTCTATATGTTATTTGGATAAACTCCATCCCCATTTATTGTATTTTTCTTTTTAAAATTCATCATCAACACCAACACCAACACACTGCACGTAGGTGTTGCACAATTGTCAAGGCAAAAAGTGTCAAGGGGGTAAGGCCCGAGTTCGATTCCTGAGAGCTGCACTGGAAGACAATTATGCTAAGCATAAGGCCTCTGCAAGTACCAGGTGCAAGCTCCACTCATTGCCACCAATATGCGATTAAGGTCTAACTTACCTTCTCTCAGTGACCGTCCGGCCGGGTCTGAGGGGGGCCTCGGGGATGGGGCTCATCCTTTTTGAAAAAACAAAATACGGGAGTAATACATATTATTAGTAATAATAATAGTACTCCATCTTCTCGTTTTGGCTTTTTGTAGTTTTTAAAGAAAATTGAAACAAATGTGAAAGTTTGTTAAAATACCTATGATATGTTTGGAAAAATGGATTTAGATTTCAAATCTGGATTTCGCTCTAATTCCATGTTTGGAAAACTTAAAAAATTTGGATTTGGTTCAAATTCTTCACATTCATAACATTCATAATGCACATCCCCTTGTCATTTGAAATTCAAGATTTCAAATTTTGGAATTGAAATGAATGAATTGAAATGAAATGCTAGTTGCCAAACACAACCTAAATGAAAATGGTTGAAATGTATTAAATGAGGTGGATGATGTCTAATAAATAAAGTGAGAATAGTTATAATATTTCCAATGTTAAAAAGGGTAATGAAAAGATCTATGAGAAAGAAACAAAAAGGATTAATGGAAAGCTAAGATCTATGAGAGACGGAGGGAGTATTAAGAAATGGTGGATCTTTTGACCTTGAAACTCCAGGTCATATAGTGACATGAGACACTTACGAATTACGATGTTCCGTTCGTAAAATTGATAGTTTCTACTACATACGGAGAAATATATATAGACTTTCCCATCCGTGCCTTTTTTTCATTTCATTGTTCTCTCCTAAGTCTCCAACTCCCCCTTTCTACCCTATTTCGCAGAACGATTTCTTCAATTTTCACCCAAATTTCGTTTCGTAACTTATAATTTACCATGTTTAATGTATTCAATTCAACAGTTGCAGCGAAGTCTACATGAATCAAACTCCTGATGCCAACTCAATTTCAATCTGATTGTAATTCCATTTACCCTTCATTTTCCAATTTCATTTGTTGTGCCCTAACGTTTATCTATTTGGTTAACCGTAATACGGAGTATTTACTTTAATTTTATGGGTATGTGCTTATCTTCGTGTGTATTATCATCTATGCACCAATTAACGATTGATCTCTTTGATCTGTATATTATGTAAGGGGTTGAAATTATAATTTTCGGTTTAGATCTTGTTTTCATAGATTGAATTATTGATTCGGAATGAAACATCATGAATTTGAATGGATTCTTATCTTGATCGTAAAAAGAAATATTCCTTTTGCCAATCATTGTATTGACTTTACAAAGAATGTTTTTAACGATGCTATTATAGGATTTTTTTTAATTGTATGGAGCAAATTATTTATTCGTATCTTCTTCTTCTTCTTCCTCATCATCATTGTTCTCTACAATTTTAAAATATTGATTACTTGATTTAGATCAAAGCATATTTGGAATTTATTCAGTTTCCGAATGTTTTGGACTTGAAAGGACTTAGGTGATGCCTTTATGGACTTTTTTTATAAAGCTAGCTATTTGCATTGACCCATTTTTTCTGAAGAAAAATAATTGATCTGTCATTGCTGCAAGCGTATACTGCTTTCATGACTTGATCAAATGGCTTAAAGGACTTGACTCATATTTTCAATATGCAAGTTAATGATATTCTCTTTGTGTTTGCCATTAAAATAATTCTAGGAATTTTGACCATAACCACTATGCTTAGAAATGAGCTGTAAGACTCGTGATGGTGAATCAAGATAAAAACATCTTGTTGTATACTCCGCAATAAATGATTTTTTTGAACTATACTACTTTATTGCTTGAAGGGTGAAATTCAGTGTGCTGTAAAGTGGAATAAGGATCCTGTAGTAATTCTGTCCAGTGTATAAGATACTGAAGATACCACAAAATTTGGTGTTTTTCTTGGTAAGTATGCTACAATATGTAATATTTACATATGTTAGAGGTTTATTTTCTTTTTTAGGTTACACGCTATTCTTGCATCAACTATTTGGCTTATTTTCACACATTTTCATGCTTTCTGTTTAGAAATACTTTTTACACATAATTACTAAGTCACTGGCTCACTGCACACAAAGCATGTTTATGGCTTTTAATCATCACCTCTCACTTTGTTGGGTTGATATATGTCAAGCTCTAGTCCAAAACTTGAATGTCCTCGTGTGATGAGAGGTAAGTTCTCACTCTTTAAGCAATTTTCATCCTGGAAAGAGTAGGCAACTGAAATTTTTCTTGCTTTATGCATGAAGAAGGTAACTAAGGAGAGATGGCTAACTATATGTCATCTAGAATATGATCATTTAGGCAAACACTTCCTTGTTGCAGGGTTGTGACTTGTGACCCCACCCCACCGCCAATGGAAGGGGAACAATGATGTTGTGTAGTATCATGATTTTCACCTTCTGATATTCCTAATTTTGGCATTTTATATAAGCATTTGTGTCCAGTTGCCATATCATTTTTCTAATTTCAGGATCTTTACACAAGTATATTTTTTGTGCAATGATGAACTTCACTCTCTATTTTAATTTCATGGAGTGTCGAATTTATAAATTTGATGTTACAACAACTAGCTTTGAAACTGTATTTTTCTTCTCTCAAAAGCTTAAGACTAAATTTTCGGTAGCATCAACGTGTAGGGTATCACAGTTGCTGTGTAGTTTTTTTGTTTTGAAATAGCAAATAAAAATTTGTAAAACATTGAAATATTAATGGTTTTAGTGATAGTAACAGTTGAACACACGTTACGGGTGTACCTAGATGGATACTAGGGAACAAAGCATGCCAGAAGAGGCAGATAAGCATCATGCTCTTCTCTATAAGGAATGGGATGAAGCTTCATGCCCTATATGTATGGATCATCCACACAATGCTGTTCTTCTTCTTTGTAGTTCTCATGATAAAGGGTGTAGATCTTACATTTGTGACACAAGCTATAGGCACTCAAATTGTCTGGACCGTTTCAAGAAAGTCCCTGAAAAGAATTTTCACTTTCCCCCCTCTCCACCCACACTGGTTACAGGTGGAATTGCCGGAGGATCAGAACCAAATAGAATTGATTTTTCAGATAATAATTATACATCGGAACCAAAATTGAACCTTAAATGCCCTCTATGTCGTGGGGACGTGTTTGGATGGAAGGTAATTGAAGAAGCTAGAAACCACCTGAATTTGAAGCTTAGAAATTGTTCCCGTGAATCATGCTCGTATGTAGGTAACTATAAGGAACTGCGCCTTCATGCCAGGAGGGCTCACCCCACAGTCCGTCCAACTGAGGTTGATCCATCAAGACAGAGAGCTTGGAGAAGCCTGGAAGAACAGAGAGAATATGATGACATCATCAGTGCTGTTAGAACTGCTATGCCAGGTGCTATGGTGCTTGGGGATTATGTGATTGAGAATGGAGGAGATAGGGTATCAACAGGAAGTTATAGGGAAAGGGGTGACGGTTTGATGAGTACATTCTTTCTGGTCCAGATGTTTGGGTCAATGGGCTCAATGTCTAATATGAGGAGGAGGAGTGGTGATAGGTCAAGAACTCTGTCTAGGTACCGCCGGTCAAACGGATCTTTTCCCAGGCGCCGGTTTCTTTGGGGCGAGAATCTCTTGGGTCTTCAAGATGAAGGGAGAAGAACTGAGGAAGACGACGCAGCTGACTCGGATAGAATGAATCATGTGGCCCCATCTGATAGGGGGAGGAGGAGGAGGAGGCGACAGAGGCGGCGGTTGATGTGAAGATTGGCATCATTCTTACACTCTGGTAGTGCACTCTCATGACTTAGAGCCCGTGTGGTAGCATCAATCGGCTTATTCTGCTCATCAGAGCTGAATAAGTCTCTGTGTTTGACTAATGTTTGGCTGAAATTGATTTTAACAGAAACTTTTCATTTCAGAATTCGTTTCAGCCAAACAAGTCACTGGCTGTGGTGGTACCATACGGGTCCTTTAGTATCTCTTGTTGAGACGTTCTTTTAGTTGCCAGGGCCAGATTTTTTTTCCCCTATAATTATCTTATAATCGTGCCACGCAAATGTGCAGAAAGCCTCTATTCCAAAGAACTTGATGCAACTCATTCCCAAGGTTTTCACCAAGGGGAGGAGATCGGTTCGGCTTTGGACAAAATGATTGAGGTCGATTGGGGTGTTCGCGTCTCCTGTTACATTCGTGATCCGTCCCAAATTCTCTACCTACAAGATTTGTGCATACTCGCTTTGTCCTTCGTTTTTATTCTTACATTTGTGAATCAATTAAAGTTGTACATCCTAAGTCTTAGATTCTTTTTAAATTTATGAAGCCCTCTTCTTTGCTGTTATTATTGCTGCCAACATCCTATGTTTTAGTATCTCTTTAAATTAATGAACCCTTTGTTGCTGTTAAGCCTGTTATCATTATTAGTTTTTCAATCCTCTCACTGTTTTGCCCCATTTTATTTTGTAGCCTCTCTCCATATTTTGTCTCACTTTGCACATTTTGTTTGTTCCATCTTTTTGTCTCATAAATGGAAGGTCCTACTCCGTATTTTAGACTCAGATCTATTTGAATAAATAAATGAAGGAGAGATGGATTGAGTTGGGGTGATCCCTATTTAGAGGCATTAGTCTCATTTTTTATTACTCCGTATTTTCAAGCAATGGATTGGGACTAAACATTAGTCCTATTTATGGAGGAGAAGATGAAATGAGACTTGCATTGGACATATTTTACAATCACGAATCATGATCATGGAAGTACAATGTCCTATGTCATCCCTATAATGTGTTTTATAGGACTAACAAAATATTATCCTGAATCTGTCCAGAATCGATTTAAAATTGAACGAGACCAGGATAAATAAAAAGTATCTTGTTTCGTCTCGTTGTCCCGTGCATTTATCTCTAAATGTAAATATCCGTTCAAATAATTTGTTATCAAATTGCATAATATTTGTAAACTAAAATGTTATTTTTAAAATAAATGTATATGTTTTATTGCACTTTTATTCAAAAATTTATTTTATATATGTATAAAGTTTCTAAATTGGAGAGTACTTTTTAGATTTAAAATATTACAGAGTATTATAAAGTTTTATGTTTACATTTTATAAAAAGTTTGAATTAGGACATCCCGACACGTTTTGAATTATCTTGGTTCCAAAATGAAAGGGACAAAGTAAGACAATGTTGTTCTTGAAATGTTTTGACCCATTTTTATAAAACGAGATTGAGGCCAAGATAACTACATAAATGTTTTGATTCGTCTACCCCTAATTATAAGAGGTTGGAAAACTATTCTTAATTTTACCAGAAAGACAGAAAACTTCTTCATACTAATATCTATTTTTGTGACATGTTTCACATTTTCAAATAATACCCCTCCGTCCGGAAAAGAAGTTTACGTTTTGACTTTGGAGTCAATTAGTCCATTTCGGCAACCCCATTGTCGGCTTGCCTGCCGCTAGACCCGTCAGCCCCCTTCTCCGGCAGCCTCCCTTCGCGGCCATCCCTCACCGCCATCCCTCACCACAATCATCAGCCTACCGTCGCGCTTGCCCCCCTCCATCGCCTCCATCGCCTATCACAACCACCATCCTTACCATCGCTGCCAATCCTCCATCTCCGCCAGCCCCCATCCCCGCTATCACCTTAATAGCCGCCATCTACCATCTCTGCAATTGTAGATCTCTTTAGATCTCGAAGAAAGAGGGAGATGGAGGAGGGAGATGGAGAATGCGAAAGAAGAAGAAGTGAGATTTACACAAAGAGAAAGGAGAAAAGAAGAAAAGAAAAAAAGAGTTGCGTTTGGGAGGAGAAGCAAAAGAATGAAAAGAGAGAAGAAGATAAAAGAGAAAGAATGGAGATAACCGGATAAGGAGAGAAGGGAGTGGCGGAGAAGAGAAGAGAGAAATAAGGAAAAAGTAAAGGAAAAAAACAAGAGAGGGGTATTTTTGAAAGATTGTGGATTAAAATTAGAAATGTAAACTTTATTTTCGGACGGAGAAAAAAGAGAAACCTAAACTTCTTTCTTTTTGGGACGGAGGGAGCATTAAATACTTCAGGTTTTACTTTATGATAAAGCTAATTATTGTACTCCGTAGTATGCAATAATTCTTTAATCTTATTTTACGAAATTCAAGAACTATTTATCTGTGTGGAAGACAACGAAATAACTCTAGAAATTTTGTGAATAAGTCCAGCAGAATCTCTAACATCCCGCAGAGAAGATGGAATACCTACTTAGGAGGTTGACGACGAAGCAACAAATCGATTCCATCATCAGAGACACCGTCGATAAGGTTCTCGTCCTCCGCTTCGGCCGTTCATCGGATTCCGTCTGCCTCCATCTCGACGACGTCGTATGCTCTCCGCCTTTCTTCCTCCAATGAATTTTTGTTTTGTTTCTCGAGAGACTTTATGATCGATTATACGCGTTTCATAGTTCCCAATTAGGTCAATTTCATGTAGCGCACAAACAATTACGAGTTTTGAATCGAACTCGTGTTGGCGGTATTTCTGATTGATGGAAATGAATTCTCGAGCGCAGCTTTATAAATCCGCGGCGGAGGTCTCCAAGTTCGCGACGGTGGCGCTGGTCGATTTCGATGCCGAGGGAGTGCAAGTTTACGTGAAGTATTTTGATATCACTTTGATTCCTTCTACTGTGTTCTTCTTCAATGCTCATCATATGAAGATGGATTCTGGGTGCGCCCCCCTATTATCATCTCATTCTCTCTGGTTTTGCAGAATAAAATGATTAAAATTGTTTTTATTTGAGTAAATAAATGTCAAATGTGTATCTTCTATAATGATCTGGTGCGGGTGTTCCACAGGAGTGCAGATCATACAAAGTGGATTGGGGCATTTAAGACAAAACAGGACTTCATTGATGTTGTGGAGGTAAGATGCATCTTCACTACACCATTACTGAAGCTTTTATTTATTTTTTTTTAATTTATTTTTTAAAAATGAGGCTTGTGAGTTTCTCTTTTGCTCATACTGCAAGATGTTGATTTTTCATGCCTTACATAAAAGCAAATGAAGTTTTTTTCCTCAATCTGTTTGCACTGCCTATTTATGGCTATACAAAATCAGAGAGATATAGCTGAAGTCTTTACTTAAATATAGACACAGAGAAGAGAGTACTTCGTATTAAACATTGATTAAGGGTGTGTTCGGGATAGCTTGTGTTGAAGGACAAATGATTGATTTTTTAGAGGAAGAAGGAACTTTAACTTAAAAAGTATTTGAAAGTGTGCAAGTGGGAAATCATTCATACCACAAGCTATTTGAAACTTCGTGGTTTTTTTTTTGGGGGGGGGGGGTGAAT